AAGAGCATTGTTATTAGTCAGAGGGGTGATAAATTGGGGATATGTGTTTCACACATTTCATGAAACTGCACCATTGGGCTGTGTCTGGTGGGAGAAGAACATGACCATTCAATTTTTAGAGGTGGTGGAGCATTAGAGTGCTCTAGACAAAAAGGAGAGGAGTGAAAGTTAGAAAAATGGAAGATATTTCTGATTTCTTTCAGTTGTAGATTTTCTAAAACATTAATCACTCTCTGTGGACACCACACAGCACAATGATGTGGGCTCAAAGACAGAACTGATCAACTGTAATCTCCAGGTTCACAGATGTGTCTAGTAAACCATTTTTAATGTAAGATATTTGGTATGGAAGGAACCAAAATACCCAGAACTGTATCTCCTATGCCTTTGTCAACAAAATTAACTCAATCAGCCTTCTCAAAACTACACTGCTAAAGGGTTTTACAGTAATATTTTTTCCATAATATTGGAACTTCACCATTACAAGCAACTGGAATTCTTAAGAGGAAATGGGTGACAGTATTTGCAAATGCATAATATTCAGTTTGACTAAACTGCATTCACTAGTTTGTCACCTGGCTATTATATGATAACATTGTGAAATACAGAATTTCTATTAAAAACTTGTGTTTTAAGAAGAAAATATATTTTTTTCCAAGTGTACTGGTTAGCTGGAATAATATCATTTTTTGTTAAGCCAAGAAACTTCTTTCTGAAACACCTAACAGAGCGTCATAGGTAGCTATATCTAGGACATGCATAGATTAATATGATTTCTAGCCTATGTTAATTGTTTAAAGCTGATTTGTACTTATGATTTCAAGGAAAACTGGATTTATTTTATTTGGAATTGAGGAGCATAATTACTATTTTTTTTTTAAGTGGGTATGTGAGCATCAAATATACTTGATAATTTAAGCAATAAATAGTTCATGTGAATTTTTGATATGTCAAACTTCTATTATGTTTGGATAGCTCATCTGTAGATATCAGTAGTTTCTATTTCATTATAGCATCAGAAATACTTTTGTAACACTGAAAGTAGTGAACTATATGACAAAACACTGAATTGTAACTGAATAACTAAGGTTAAATGTTCTGATATTTGGGCATGTATGTGAACAAAAGTCTGAAAAGAGGTTGATTAATTGATGATTATAAATATGTTAGAAAATCCTATCAGGGAAAAGAGCTACAGTGAAATCTGACTTTAAGAAAGTCTGTATTCATATCTGTTATAGGTTTCTGTTCAGACTTCAGACCTGAGGATTAAAATAAAGTGTGCACAGTGCACACCATGAGATAACAACAGCCTGACATTCTGAGTTATGTTACAGCTGTGACAGCAAATACAACTTGTCTTTGGACACATAAATGAATTAACCTGTGGCAATTCAAGATGATGTGGAATTAAAAAATCTGAAAATTGCAACAAATCTGACAATCAAATTAGCGTCCAATCCAACAGTAGAAAAATGTATGCCTGCATAAATAAGGACTAAATTTCCCTGACCGTCATTGTGTTTACTTCTTTTCCTCACAAATTTTCCAATGCACAGTTTGTTTATCTAACACAGCTGCCTCTACAGTATTTGCTTGAGGTTTATGTCTCAGTCATCGCCTCTGTGAATCCATCACAAAGACATATTGATGCCCTGTTTGATGGTAGCAGCTGATTCTTCACCTGCAATGCATTTGTCTGTAATAATCTTTCAGGAAAACTGAAACTAGAGTATAGAACTTGTTTCGTACGAGGACAAAATTTATTTGTGTTAAGTGATGTACTGTAGGTATTTGAACTTGTTATTCAAGTGGATATTGTCCAAATAGATATGCAATTTCCATGCTAAAATACTGTTTGATATAGCTGAAAAGGAAAAAAAGAACAGGTCAGAGAAGCTTTCTCTAGCTGTCAGTTTTCAATAAGATTGTGAAGGGCCTGTTTCTGGCCAAAGGGTTTCCCTTTTTGGATTGAAAACTTAAAGCAACTCAGAGGACTTGAGACACTTGAGAGAGCTGATGTTCATGAGCTTGTACTGCTATCAATTGCACCATCCATAATCTGGACTTTTATTTCAAAAGCTTTTACTTTTGTGTTTCCAAAGATAACCATAGAAGTGTGAATTGAGTATAAACTGCTGCAGCATATCTGCATAAATCTGAAGACAGACCAAAGCAATAACTCTGAGGCAATTATGAGATCTGTTTTTTAGGATCTTAAGTTGCAAACTAGTTGCGATAACTTAAATATAAGTTTATAAATGTAAGGTTAATTGCCCCACTGTTATTCACTGCATGCAAGAAAAACAAATATGGATGGTTTGGGAAGACTACTTATGAGAGACATCCTACTAAGGAAATTTAGGAGAGTTGAGAATGCTATCATAAACTCTGCTTTCAAAAGTAGCACACTTTTGAAAAACACTGAAGTTTAAAGCAAACTGCAAATGTACTATTTTCTATGACAACTTTAGTCAAAAGAAGGACCTTGGTTTACATCTCAAAGACAGCTTCATTGTTGAAGAAGAATTGTATTTGTAAACTTCACACCAGGTATGTGTTTACCTACAACTGGATTGCAATTGCATTTGAAATCTATCTTGGAATATCTTGGACGCTATAAGAATTGATTCTTGGAATCTTGGAAGTATATGAACTAAACTTACTGAAGTAACAAGTTTTCATTGTTTTTTACTTCAGAGGTTTCTTTTCTGTGTCTAGCAGACCTCAGTGTCATTGCATTGGCACTCACTTTTAGATGTGAGACAGACATAGAACTTCCATTTAGGAGGGAGTTGGGAGAATAAAAAAAAATATAAAGATATGGAGGCACTTGGTGTGCCAAATTGCGTCTACTAAATTCACTGGTAAATTTTCTATGGGTGTCAACAAGGACAGGATTTCACCCTCTATTTGGCTGGGGTGGGGTGATGTACCATATTTCCATTACGTATCACACAAGGAAGAACTTAGTTTAGAAGAGTGTGGGGTATAAGTATGATCTTTGTCTTAATCTTTGTCAGAACAAGGAGTAGGTTTGCTCATTTGTGCTATATGGATGAGGGCAGAGCTGAGGTCCATGTGAGCCACTGGATTCCTGTTGGCTGGGATCACTGCAGTACAATATAAGGTGATACATTTGTAAATCATCATGGTCTCCCATGACCTTCTAATTTATTTTAATTTATTCTATTTACTCTAGTCTGTCTTTGGAGACAGCTGCTTTTTTAAGATTACTATACTGTCTGTTTAAATCCATACACTTCTTTAACAAAAGTTTGGTAAGAGATTCTCAGTTACTTTTGTGATGTTAGCACACCACATAAGCTAAGGCTCTTAAGGTAGCCTTGTGGTTGCAGGTCAGAAACTCCACCTACAAGCTACCAGGTGCAACTGAGAGGTGGCATTCTCTCCAGCCAGGCTGTGTGGACAGCTGGGCTGCCAGGACAGGAGGGGAGGCTTGCCTCTGCAGCAGACTCCCTGGAAGCATAGTGAAAATCCAGTCCAACTCAGTGAGAATGTCTTACTGACAAGAGTTGTGTCTTGAGAGTTTTTCTCATTAAGAGGGGTAGTTTGTAGCAATTCATAATTAGTGTGCATTTTTGCTGTTATTTTTCATTGTAAGTCTTGTGATTTTAGAGATGGGAGATAGTTGGCTAACTGCTCAATGTTCCTATGGACGCCATATTGGTTTCCATTTGCACTTTTATTTACTAGTATTTTCTGCTAATTTAGTTTTAGATGTCCTAAACAAGACTCTCCCTTGGGTGTATTTGCAAAGTCTAGTAAATCATACTGCCCGGAAGCTTCTTGTGCTATTAATTTTAAATTTCCTCTTTCTCAATTTCATTCCATTACCCAAGTATGTATTTCCTGTATTTTCTATATAATTCCTTCCTCTTCTGTGTGTTTATACTTTTCACATACTTGTGGTAATTGTCTCAGTCCAGTTATTACTTCATTGACATAGTCCTGCTTACCTCTTTTAACCTTTCCTTGAATCAGTTGTGTCCTTTATCAGTCAATGTCTTTAAGTTATCTTAATTTGACAAGATCCTTCTGATTAAAAAATTCTCAATATTTCATGTTTGTATGACTCTTTTAAAATATTTGTGACTTATAGAGCACATAATCAGTTTAAGACAGAATTTATCAGCCACTGTTGTAAAAACTATTTACTACTGCTAGTTGGTATTGCAAGTTATTTACCATTGGAGTATTTGAGGTCATGCAGAATGTCTAAGGCATGTTTAAGCACTGGAAAAACATATATTTACCATAGCTTTGCCATATTCAGGTGTGCCTACATGTAGAAAGCATCATATTATCTTGATGACCTATACCTGGCATAAGGTCTTACCAGCCTCTTATATCTATGAAAGAAGTGTTGTTACTTATTATACTCTTGACTTGCAGAGTTCTCATTATTAAACACTTCTGTGGTTTTAGTAGGTAGCTTTTTGCCAGATGTTATGATGTGTACATTATAGTGCATCATATCCAAATCCTCTACCCTATTCCCAAATAGTGAATAATTAGTTAGCCTTCTAGTGTGAGTAATCTCTGTGGACAACCGTGGTCAAGTCTTGGTTATCCTCCAAGCCAGAGTGGCATGGCACGTGAAAACAGGTTTTCTCTTAGTACTTCATACATTAGGGCCTATGCCTGCTCAGTTTGCTCCTGCTCTCAGGGGATTTTGGTTCACAGACAGTGCCTGAGCTGCAAAAACATTTTGAAACCATCTGATGCATGTGCACCCAGAAGGAAGAATGCAGAAGAATGCTTACCAAAAAATACTGTTACCTAAGCATGTACTATCTATCTGAGAAGGGACCTGCCTGGTGAAAATATCCCATGGAAATTCATAGCCCATTTAGGATAGCACACTACAAAACATAGGTGCTATGATGACGTGCAATTCTGGAAAACCCTAAGATAGGTAGGTTCCTTAAACACAATGTGTATGTTTCACAAGGCATTCTTTTGGTTTTGTTTTGTAGCCTAACAGCAGTGGTCAAGTAGTAGGGAAAGTGCCTGGCCATTTTACTCCAGTTTTGGCACCCTCTCCCCATCACAGTGCGGTGCGACCTGTGACCCTGACCATGACAGATACTAAACCCATCACTACATCCACTGAAGGTGAGGCATCTTCACCTACAGCAACCAGTAAGTATTTCTTTAGGAAACAAAAAATGTCCATCGAAGATTTGATATGATTTCAAATTGTGGCCAGAAAAAGGCGCCTTTTCCTACTATTTGACCAAGTGAGTGCTCATCATTTTACATGGAGAGCAAACATGATCCAACTGCAAAGCTTTTCCTCCCAAAATTTCAACCAATGGATCATGTTACATAAACCAAAGTTTGTGACATGAAAACCAAAATGTAAGAGGAAAGCCTGCATATTTGACCACTATTCAAGGAAAAGAAAATGTCTTTTTTCATCTGAGGTGGACATTGTTAAGACATTGAGAAGCACACCCAGACAGTAAGGTTTTACCCACAGATGGAATTCCAAAAAAGGACTGGATAATTTGCTCCTCAATGAACTTTCCTACAGAAATCAAACCTTGTTACAACACATACTGAATCCGAGCTATGATAATTGCATATTAATATAGGTTGTGTCACTTTTTTAGCAAAAATAACTGTTGTTATTAAACAGAAAAATTAAAATAAAATTTTAATTCCTTGTCATTTCTACAAGGGATGGTAGACCCACTGTTTGTTTTTTTTAAATAGAAAATTACGAATTCTAACTTCAATGTTTTAAGCTCTTTTCTACTACTTTTCCTATTATCTTCAATGGAATTGCAGTTCTAGAAATGGGGGTAAATATCTAGACTAATTTCTTCCCTTGAGACTATTAATGATCAGTGGTGCAGAATGTTGTTTTTTAAACTGTATTCTGCATTGCTATTGTCCTTTTACTTTTATTTAGACTTGAGATGGCCAGTGTTACCAGCATTTATCAGAGTGGTGAAGATTTTTAGGAGACAGTTCCAGATTATTGAAAAAAAAAATCTGAACAGCCTGTAAAAGCATTAGTTAATTAGGGTTTATAATACTAAAATTGCTTGTTCTAGATCTATTTAGTATTTGAACTTCAAATGCACTCCCTAGTCTGTCATTAATGGAGACTATAAACTGTGCCCTTTTCAGGTGTTATACTCCTTTAAAACTTTTCATTAGAATCTGAGGCAGAGATGAGACTCAAACGCATAAGATTTAAAGAAGGAAAACTGATTAAGCATTTGTTATAAAAGGGTAGTAGTAACTTCTGGTGAAACTACTGCTCAAGTATAAAGACAGACGGATGGGTGGATGGATGGATAGATAGATAGATAGATAGATAGATAGATAGATAGATAGATAGATAGATAGATAGAAAGATAGATAGATAGATAGATAGGTTTATGGAAATATTTTATCTTTCAGTATATTAGTTTCATTAAGAGGTGGTAGTCCATCTGTAGCCCCACTGGTGATTTGTGGTACTTTTTTTTGACCTTTTAAGAACAGTTAGTTCTAGCAGCAAAGCAGAAGCTGTTGATCTAAACATTTGCACCAGAACAGAAAACTGAGAAAACTAAGTTCTTGTGCAGTTTCAGATATTTGTGGTTTCATTCGACTTTGACATGACTGTGTTTGACCTACATATCTCTCTTAGATGAGGTCCTGTTTTCTGATAAAAATGGCAAAAAAGAACACAGTAAATGCCAGAACTGTTTTGGGACGTTTTCTGCTAATATGACCTTAATCATCATTATAGGAAAGCATACTGAATCTGTACATTGTCCTACCACCAAGGGAACGATTTGGACTATATTTTCCAATTAAATCATCACCCAATTTCTTGTGCAATTCATGGGAACCTGAGTAGCTGATTCCTGTTGAACCTTTAAAACATCTTGGCTTACATTCTAAAACTAAGGCTTCCTCATGCTTCCATAGTAGTTTCCAAGTAAATTCTTGCCTTAGAGCACATAACTAATAATGGAAAAAATATCTATGTCCAAATTTTATTTGAATGTTACCCTACTGCCTACAAGATAGTGTACAACATCTCACCTGCTCAGAGCTTTATGATTTTCAGAAAACTTCATTAGTCTATCTCCTTGGTAAAGGCTTTTGACTCTGGATTGGTAACAGCAAGAGCATTAAAAAAATGAAGAAATATATCTTGTTGATGAAGACAATAACAATAAAATGAGAGATCATGTCCTTCGGATATAAATTATGTATGAATACATATAAACTGTATTTGTCAAACTGTGTTATCAGTCATAATTAGTCCACTACACAGATTACTAATATTAACTTAAAGGGCAAATCAACACGAAATAAATTTTATGGCATTGTTTTATTTGCAGTGACTGATTGATTGGGTCAAAATATATAGAATTATATATTTATATAACCTGGACAAAAAAATTACTGCTTTTATTTCGTGTGATGAGAATAAATTGGAAAATGATTAGCACTGATTTTTAGTCTGAATTTTTAATAATGAGGAAGTACACCAAGCTTTAATAATATTTAGGCAACCCTGTGGCCTGCACCATAATTTCGTTCTAATAATTGGTCAATTCTTATGACAATTTTTCAGCAAGGCCTGTTTATTGTATATAGAATTTTAAATTTATTTTTTATGAATGCATTTTCTTGTTCTTTTCCATGTGAACTTAATATTAGCAGGCCATTTTAGTAAGTACTTTCATCTAGCTTCTCACCGGCATGCTTTTATGCAGTTTTGCCATTTTTCCATCAAGTTTCCAAGATGCGATGCTATAGATTTCAGTGTGGACATCTCCACACTGGGAAGTTGAGTAAGACCACTTAATTAATTTGATAAGTTCCACTAAAAGACATGAGAAGATAGTGACTTTTAGAAATTACTGGGAGAGACCAGACAGGGACTTGTCCTACAGGTGAAGGATCCATTCACTGTAGCTAATCCCAGCATCACTTGACATTCCCTTTCTCCTCAGAAATAAATTTCTTCAATCTTCTGTAGCAGACAGGGAGAGAATTATTTAGTAACTCCCCTCAGAAAAAAATGTTTTCTGATATATAGGGGAGTTGATGTATGGGGGAGTATACTCATATATATGAGTATATTGCACAGGGAGAATTAGCTCCCTCTTTAGCAAAAAATTATTTAGATTATATCCCATTACTGCAAAGATTAATTTCATACCACGTAAGTAAACCAAACATTTTATTCTAACTTGCGTTTTTCTTTTACATCTGTTTGGAGCTTTCTTGGTAAAAACAGGCGTGTTACAGAAATAAAAATAATGTGATCATTAATATTTTCTCTCAACATTGCAATCTCAGTGATTTCACAGTAGCTTTAAATTGGTAGAAAGGAAATGAAAAGCGTGATTAATTCAAATAAATTAATTATGAAATAATTTGAAAAAATAATCAAAGGAAGAACTATTGTCAAGAGATGTCATTATGATTTACACATGCAGCTTCCATTGAAGTTTATAGGAATTTACACATGGCTTTCCAAATTTGATCCAGTATTTCTTTTGCTTTCTCTTAAAGAAAAGACAAAGACACATCCTATATATTGCAAAATCATAACTCTGGATCTCTCATATTTGTACTGTACCTGCACAAGGTAATAGATATGATAGGTTGGTATTTTTATCAATATGTTTTGTTCTTCCTTAATCAGCCTACACAGCCTCAGGCACATCCCAAGCCAATCGATATGTGGGACTAAGCCCAAGGGACCCATCCTTCCTACACCAGCAACAGGTGGGCAAGTTTCACATAGGTGTAATGATATAGAGAACCTTTTGTGGTATTACCTTCCTACATGCTGCCACTGGTATCTTGGATTAGACTGAAATCTTGAAGGCTCCAGTATTTGTCATGTGAAGATGAAGTTTTTTCAAAAGAAACTGAATGCTTTAAGAATTATCAATTTAGCCTATTCTTTCTTTCTTAGATTTGTTCCATCTTAAGGAACACCTAATATGTTTCTTTCAATATTTTATTTTTCAAGAGTTCATACATTTAATCTTTAATAGGATTTTAGGAAGTAGAATGATATGGTTAAGAAACAAATACTAATTTCAAAATCAGTTTAAAAAATAAGCAAAACTTTCAAAGCGAAAAATACAGTTTATTATTTTCAAGTTATTTTATTTCCTTTTCCTCCAGATGTTTAACACGTTTGTTAATTTTAGTCTTAGATCAGTTATAAAACCACATTCTCAAGGCAACACGTCATCATTTCCAGTGTAATAGGTTTAAATTGGTCTGCTGATTTCAAATGTGATAAAACCACGTTTTTGTTCTAGTTTCTTACATCATTTATATTTCAAGTAGCGTTTTAAATTTCACATCTCATTAATGCTGTAAATTTAATGCAAATGAAGTGTTTACCCAAACTGTGAAAATATAGAGCCGAGATTAATGATGGCATACAAATAAATTAGCTGCAGTCAGTAGCAAGGCCATGCACATACAGAAATGGCACATTACAAAAATAAATTCAGACTCTTTAGAATTTTAATGTACTTTGTGGTGTGTGTTTGTGTTCCTCTTAGATCTTAACAGTAGAGGACTTTGAAATTCACAGCAGGAACAATATTACAAGGAGAAAAGCTGAATGTGGCAATATGAGAGTGTTAAATAGGCTTTGGTATTTGTTGTACTTTATTTTTTTTTCTCAGACTTGGGTTCCTGTCAGCACTTTATATACATTTTTGTTTCATTTTTCAGTAAAACCTACCTGTCCTACATTGCTGAGATATACCTGATCCATGCTTCAGCTGAAACTCCCTATTCATACCCACTCAGGTTGAGGAGGCAGTATGTCCATTTTAAAGGTCATCACATGTAGAGTTCAGAGAAAATCATAAAGATGATACTTTATTCAAAATAGCTGATATGTTGCCAAGTATTTTTTAACTAATAAGATCTAACTTCAAACATCTGTACACTTTTATGAACATATGTAATGACTATTAGTGGGTTTTCCAGCCATTAATTTCTCAGTAACTTTTCTGGCATGTTGTTTTGTTGGATTTTTTAACCTCTCAAAGATTTTTTTATTATGAAATGTGTTATAATTACTAAGACATGGTTTTTCTTAAAGATACACATCATATCACAACACCTCTCTTTTTTATGCACAGTGAATGTAATTTGTGGAGTTCTTGTGAAGTTTTATAGAGTATTCTTTGAAATATCTCTGACATCCTGTTAATTTAGGGATGTGCAATAATTTTTTTCCCCTCAGTATTTTTGGACACAATTTTTTTCTGCAGACTGCTCCTGCTTAGGACTACTCCATCTTCCAAGCTCGTTGGAAGACTTCTAAACTTCTCTTCACATGCCAGAAAATATAGAAACATATTTAACTTTCTGCTGGCTGGATTTTGGCATATGTAGCTAATGTTTTGCGTTTTCTTTTTATTTTTGTCTTTGCGTAGATCAAAATAGATTTAAAAATTTCAGTAGTGTCTTTGGAACATCAAAGTGAGAGGGAGCTGAAAGGTCTTTGGTGTATGCGTGTTATGCCTGATACTCCCTTTCATAGTAAAACATGTGGCCAAATGGCTTAAAGGGAAGGGAAAGCTAAGTTGGATCTCACATACACTTCAGAAGCAGAAAAATTATTTAACGCCACTGTGTTAAACCAATGTTCTCCTTTCTAAAGTGTATTGCTTCATAGTCTCATTATGCAAATCCAAGGGCATCAATCGTTGACCAATGAGCCATGTAGTATATTCAAAAATATCAGCGTTTTATTGTCTGCTCTTAACTCACTATTTTTTTCTAACATATGCAATGGACAGATCTGTGTTTGCCTGAGTGTGTCTGTGTGTGTATGTGTGAATGAATGCCTACACATGTAGAAAATTAAGGAGTAGTATATGCAGCTGAAACCATCTGAAAGAACAGAATTCTTAAACTAGAAAGTTTTTCAGATGGATAAATATGAACACATAGGTATGTACAGATATGTTTCTAATGAATTAGTTACCTTCACTCAATTCTAAAGATGGCATGGAGAGATGATAGACTGTACACACACACACACACACACATACATACATACATTCATATTACCCAGCAAGTAAGGTTGAGCACTGAGATTGTCTAAACAGCTTTAATAGAGCAAAGGTTATTCTTCAGTAGGGCAGAAATAGATTTGATTTACTATGCCCTTTCACTACTCTCAACAATTTAAAAGAGACCACTCTTCTTGTGACAGATTTTAAATGCATTTGCTTTAAAGCAACCCATGATGAATGAAAAGAAAAATCAAGGAGTATGTGAAATAAGGCAATTAATCATTTGTATTAGTGGAGAGAAATTTTCAATTAGAAAGCCAGTGGTTTTAGTTCCAGAGAGGTCTTTTAAACATTCCCCATACCCTGTAATGCACAGTGACCCCTCAAGAATAAATATTGTCACCGGTACCTTTTTTACTTCATTGGAGGAGTCTTCATAAAGATTTATTCTCCCTGGCTATGAGAAATATTGGTATGTACCCTTGAGTACTTTATGTTGCTGTTAAAAAGAACCATTATGTAGCCCAATTAAGTTACAGTAACCACAATAAATTTAAAAGTTATACATGTGTTTTGCAACACACACTCACATGGAGTCCTGACAAAGTGATAGCTTTCTAGAAATTCCAGTAAACAATGTAAAGCACAGCACATCCCAAATACTCACATTTACACGAGAAGCACTGACTAAAACTCTGAAAAACAATGCATAATAGGGTCAGTGGGAGAATTTGTTGGCTTTTACTGATCTGGATATTTGAAATTGTGATGTTATGTGCATTACTTAGCCTGTAACATTGAGAGTTAGAAAGACCAGATTCTAATGGGAAATTATAACTATGCGGTCCAGTTTCTGATGCACTAGCTGATCGATCTTCTCATTAGTTGCCTTGAAATGCCAGGTATTTTTATGCTGTGGCGTGAACAATTACATAAAATACATCTTGCTTCAGTGTATTTGAAGAGTCATATCTGCCCTGGCATCTTCTTGTAAAAAATTCATATCAGACCTCCTCTGTCAATTAGAAATTATTAGTAACCACTAGTTTTTATTTTTTTTTTATCATCAACATCAGCTTCTGAGAGTTGTTAAGTGTTGATAATGTAACTGCAGGAGGAGCACTATGGTAGAAGGGAAGGGATGTGATAGAGATACTACATGAATGAGAGCTTTTCCTAATGTTATTATTAGTTATCAGTGGAAGTATTTTCTGAAGCCAAATCTACTGTGCACTGTTCTTTATCTGTGCTGAGAAACATCCTAACTAAATTAAACAAAAGAAAGGTTGGATAATCTTTGCAATTATATGGGTGCACCTTCATCCTCCTCCCACCCTTAATTTGCATTTACTGAAGATTTGTGGTTTCTAAGCCTAGACTAGAAAATTACTAGAAATACTAATCATATACTTTGCCTGTATAAACAGTTTAAAAAGATGCATGGATGGATGGATGGATGGATGGATGGATGGATGGATGGATGGATAGACACTTGTATTTATTGTAAGTGCAGATGAATGGTATCACAAAGAAATAAGGTTTCTCTTGGAATGGATGAAATAACTGCAAGGTTTTTGTTCTTGACCATTTAATTTTAGTGCACCTCTGGGCCTATGGATGATTCTATTTTTAATTAGATAACATAAACAAATGGAATAGCTGTTAAGATTATTAACAATAATCTCTAGAACTTTTCTGTCACTGTGCTAACTAATGCTGGTCCAGTTGTTGAGAAGTTAATGGACTCTTCTAGTCTTTGCACTGGTAAACTTAGTGACATGGCTTTCACTAAAGCTTGCACTTTCTGGGTATGGTATGCTGTGTTCATGATTTTTGCACAGATTTTACAATTATGAGTGAGACTTTTTCAATGTACGTAGTAATAAGGTCTCAAAAATCAGAAAACCATAGAAAGCTTTTTATTTCCTACAAATGCCTTCTCTGTCTTTTCAGTAGAAAGTTGTTCTTACCAGATGCATCCTTTAGTTATTGAGCTGCACAGTTCAAAATGTAGTTCTCTTCGTACTATTAATCATGGAAATGGTGTGCTTAAATGTCGACTGAACACATAGTATTTGTTTACAAAATGTTTTGGGTGGATGTTACTTTTGCATTCAGCAGCAGGCTGAAAGAAGAACACAGGCAGACTCCTAAAGAGAACTTGTCAGTAAAGTCAGGAAACAGGTTATCAACACTTAGCCTGTTCTTATTGTGTCCCTTATCATAATTGACAGTTTGACGTAAAACTGGGTCACATGATAGCCAGGGAGGTATGTAAATGGCTAAGAGGTCACCTTTCACATATGCTTGCTAGAAAGGAAACACATTTAAAGGAAGTTTCAGTCAGAACAATGACAATATGCAAATGTTAAGTTTTATGGGCTTTTCTCAACTAACAGAAGCTATAGCAGTCTCCTATTACACTTTCCAAGATACAATTCTTCTTTCACTATCTCTGCAGAAACTTGAAATGAGTGTTAGTCTTGGCCTTTCTTTAGATACAAGACTACAAAATCTGCTTAAATACTAACTCCTAAAAATGATTCCTATTCTGATTAAAGATGGAGCTCTTGTCTGTGGGTTTTTAATGTATGTGTGATTTGCATACTTAAAATGCTGCAGGATGGTTGTGCTTGCAAGGTGCTGTTGAAACTGTGAAGACAGCTATAGTAAAATCTAGCACTTGGGTAGAACTTCACATCAGTATGTCTCACAGATCTGGAAAGTGCAAAACAAAATCAGTTTCCTGGCATTTTACAGAACAGAAGTACTTGGTCTACTGCTTTGCTTGTCTCCAGGACTGTGTCCACTTTGAGGCTTGTGTCCTCTTCCTGTAAAATGTCTGAGGTGAATGGGAGAGTTGTACTGCCTCCCAGGAGAAACACATGCAGTGTGCTTGGTGCTCTCTGCTGCCTCGTGAATGCAGCAGTGGGGATGTACCATAGGCATAAGGGCAGAGCCTAGGATCCAGGACTAGGAAAATGGCTGGGCTACCTGTGAGGATTCTTCATCTCCCGCAAGGCTAAGCATCTTTTTCCACTTCATAAAATAGACTCATCCTCTTTCTTTTGTGGATAAATGAGAGATGAATAAGAAAATACTTTGTAATGTTTTGAGGTTGGAAGGTGTTATGGTAGTGAGGTTCCTGTAGTTTGCCTTGCTAAGAAAACACAGAGCTGTGGACTGAAGGTCAAGTCTGTTCAGCAGCCTTCTAGAAAAGACTTTTCACCATGTCATATGTCAAGACAGGCCATTTATTTTTTATTCATAATATTTGAGAAAATTCGTGGTGTTTTCAGCAGTTGTTAGATATATCCTGGGGACCATTTCTTGTGTCCCTCTACTGAGGAATGTAAGTTTTCTCAAGTAGTTTCCTGCCTCTCCTCTTCACATATCCTGCAGAGAAACTCTTTTAGATGGCTCGTAGTGGGTAAGATTGACTGTGCCTTCTCATCTCTAGCTAGCACTGTGACATAATTTTAGAGGTACCTAGGTTACTCTGAGGAAAATAACTGGACAGAAAGCTTTCAGTATGACTCCAGACGACATACAGCACTTGAAATACTGTGATGAAGTGCCTTATGTCCTTCCAAAGCTTGGTACTCGTGTCAGGTCTGTGCACCCAAACTTTCCCTGCTGGGCTGTCTGGACATCCTCCAAGGGCAGCCTCCCACTGCTGCTGTGAACAGACTTCTTCCATCAAATGGAGCCCGGACTTACAGAGTTCTATTAAATTCTACATTATTTTTACCCAGAAACCACTCAACACATGGACAAAATGCAGATGAAGACTTTGGAAGTGGTATTTCTGAATCTTAGACATGCAGAGATTTTTCAATAACAGTGACTTGGGAGAGAAAGTTTTATGTGAGGCAGATTTAAAAATAATAAAAAAATATCCATGCAGTTAATTTTAAAAGACAATGGGACAGTTATGTGAGCCTAGTGAGGAGTGTGGAGCAGCAGTTTTTAAAGTTGGGAGGGTGTATTTCAGTACAACTAATACAGCCCTGGGCTTGTCACAGAACCAGTTGTCATGCAAACCTGAACCTCTCCACACACAGTGTTGTCAGTACTGCAAGCATGGTGCAGCTGATGCAGTGAATAGCAATGCAGTACTAACTGTGAGTCTCATGGAGCATGAACTTTCATATAAATGTGCATGTACATGCTAACGGTTTGGTTATAAAATGCACATGTTGCATTATTATCTTTGCAGTATGTGGAAGTATGTGAATTGAGGTAAACACGACTGCATATAGTAAGAAGCATGTCATTACTAACATTTATGAAATATGTTTCAAAAGCTTTGTGGTGCTTTCTTAATGATAAATGTAACACATTAACTGTATGTGTGGAAGGCTTTCATACAGACTGTGGGAAGAATACAGTGATTTAGTGCAGAAGCTAATTTACTAAAATGCAATATATCAGTCTCTTACTGTTTTCCTCAAATGGCAAATGCAATTAGGTTCTGTATAGCAAGCTAAGTGCTTACCAAATTTCTGGGTTAGACCCAAGTGAATATAATAATTTGGTAATACTAAGTTTGTGATTTTAGTATATTTTTAATGGTTCTAATCAGCCAAAGGGCTTTTATTCATAGATTTATGTTTTGTGAAGAAGTAAAAGAGGGGGATGGGTGGGAGGGTTTAACCTTTCAGTCTTTTGTTTCAGCTGCAAGTGAGTTTTTATAGCTAAGTTATGAATCTTTAAAATATGCTTTTGTAGTGAAGATGATGACATTCTTAAGGGTAATAGCAGAAATATGTCTACAGCACACTGAGTAACTGGGCTGACATATTTTATTATGTTTTCATTATTAAAATCAGGCTCAGGATCCTCTTTTGCATAGTGACTAAATAAAGTGTTTACTTATCCATTTCTTTAAACATGTTTAATATATTATTCACTGTTACCTCTAGCAAACTTTTTAACTGCATGTTTCCTTTTCTGGTTAATTTCATGTGGTTTAGTCATGCTTTTAATGGCTTTTAGAAGGTCCCTTGGAGTTCTTTAGATAACAAACAAGAAACAATCCCTATGAAAACATCAAAGACTAACATTTCCATTTCTCAGACCTTAACAGCAGGAAGCTTATTAGTCTAACAGCCAGACAGGGTCAGGTTTGCAATATTGTCTTGTCCTCAGCATTTGTATTTTTCAGGAAAAGACTGCAATAAATTGTGCTCCTGTGAAAACAGTTTATTGTAGTTTGTTTGCTGTAGCCTGTGCTATCTCAAGAATGTGAACATGGATAGAGAAAACTAAAATGCATTGAATGCAATTAAACTCAGCAACATAATCTTCAATTAAGAGTGCTTAATCATATATAATAGTACAGCAATTTATATAAACATGACTATACAGAGGATAAAACATATATTTTCTTCAGAAACCAGATAAGCTCACTTTTTAAAGCTAAAAAATAAGCAGCATATATTTTCAATAAATCTGCTAACACTATTGGGCAGCTGTTAAATAAATAGAAATGCCAAGGGTTGCTTAAGCAATCTGTGAAGGCAGAACTGATGATTTGAGGGTCTGGGAAGAATTTGTTTCAGCTAATATTTAGTACATTCTTCATTATATTAAAATGCAGTAAAGTATTTTAAATTCTACTTTTCTGAGTCTGACCAAGATTAGATTATTTTATCACCTCTTGCTAATACCACTTTCAGTAACACTAGATTAATAAACTACGCCAGTTACAAAACACCTCTACTCTTCTTAAAGATAACAACATACAGTTTGTTTAATTTTGGCAAATTTTCTATAAATTGCATGTCTTCTATGTTTCACAAAAAGCATGCTAAAAGATATTGATCATATTTTACCTTACTCAATATACATTATATAGAGCATTGCTTAAAAAGCCAGCATAATTATTTCCTTTCTTAAAGTATCACGCTATTGATTATTAACATTTCCTTTTATTCCAGCTCAGTTTGTAATCTAATAATGGCTAATTGTTTGCTACACGCTAGTTACTCTTTAATGCTTTATTAATAGAGGATTATATTAAAATAGCATTATATTTTAAAAGTCTTTAGGCATTTATTTCTCAAAATAGGTTATTTTTCTTTGTTTTATTTTTAAAGTTACTTCTTGAGAAAATAAGACTTTTGCCATGTACAGTACTAGTTTGCATGTATTCATTTAAATACTAAAAACTGTAGTATGCTCGATCCATATCTGACTGCTAGGTTTCAATTGACAGCTGAGAATTTGTGACTGGACCATGAATCAAAACGGCAGGCATTTATACCCCAGTGCCAGTGAGGATACATTGGGAATTGCTTGGCAAAGGTAACATTTTAATTATTTCCACCCCCTACACCACCTCTAAAAAAATTGCATAGAGCAACAATATCTGTTTTAGTGGGCCTCTAGAGGCATATGTGACAGCATTATGATCAAAATATGTGTGTAACATTTCTCTAAATGCATTCAGATTATCTTTCATGTAAGCTGACTAGAGACAGTCCCTTAATGTAACACCTGAAATAACATTGTGCTGTCCTATGCAAAGGGTTTGCGAGTTGAAGGAAATACTGATCTTAGGTTTTAAAAATGTCATTTGCGCTCATATTTTTAGGACCTTAGTGGTTTATTTTTAGAGTTGGGACCTTAGAGTTTATTTTTCTATGAGACCCACCCCCCCAAAAATAAATCAAACAATAAAGTCCATTAACCTTTGATAAATTATTAATTTATTAGATTTTACATCTCTTGGCATATAGTGGATTATGGTAACAGCAGAAGGTGTATGTTTATCTAAATATACATATAAACATATCAACATAATTTTGGTACATCGGTTTTCTCCCCTTTCATGTACAGGATTGTCTGCAGCACTCAACACTTGATATGGGTTGTATATGTAAAGCTTGTAGGTTGGGAGCCTATCAGATGAAGTATTAGCCACTCACTCATGAAATAATTTAAAGTTTCTTTTTTTTAAATTTATGTGTACATGAAAATATATTTACTTCTGGATAGTGTGAGTATGTGTGTGAGTGTAATTTATATGTATTATGTAAAAAATGCCTTTTAATTCATTGTATTGATGTTACTATGGATTGTTAGAAGTTTTGGGACTTTTGAGAATCAGCTTGGAAGGGAAATTACTGAATTTGAACATTGGTGCTGTTTACAAATCCGAAGTTTAATATTTTTGTTTGGTTTGGTTTTTATTTTTTTTTTAATTTTTTCTAAAACAATGTTTTAAATCTGGAAGAATTGTGATGGTGAAATAAGGCCTTGTGATTTCTTTCCTTATATATTAAATAGTACAATGGAAAATTAGCTAATGGATTCACGTCATCTCCTCAAGGGCTGTGATTCACATTACAAATCCCCACCACGCAGTAATTGCCAGAGTTTTCAATGTACTGCCAGTAGTGAATCCAAAGTGAGCTTTTATGGCACAGAGGGGGTTATTGATTATCCCACTACAAAGTGGCATTTTTCGGGGCATTGACAGGTGCTAGAAAATTACATCACAACAACCTATCTAGAAACATCCTCACACAGTTTTAATCAGTTGTCACTCAAGCCCCCTTACAGCAATGCCAATTATACTGATTGAAGCACTGTCCTAGCGTTTGCTGAATTCTCTTTTCCAGTACCATCATATAACACCCTGAGTATAAATTTTGAAAAGAAAGGAAAAGTGGGGGAAAACATTTCTATGTCATGATCAAGATAATTTTGGTGGTGAAGAGAAGCCTTCTCCACGATTCATTTGCTGTTATAGTCCACACTGCTTTGCAGATCACTCCCAGAATGCTGCCTGCCACTGTGGCCCTGCCAACAGACATGAGCACTGCCAGAAGAGCTTGGGCACAAATTCTGCAATGGGCATTTCATTAGAGGCCTAGGCTATGCCACTTGCTCTTGGATTACAGCCTTGAAGAACAAGGAAACAAACCATTCTGCCTAAGCAGATGGCTTTTAGTTGTTGGGTTTTGAAATATGACATTCTTCAAATCCCACAGAAATGAAGACCTAAGAAGTGTAATTATACCTGCACAGGCTGAGGAGCAGTGAGCCTTTCTAACATTAAAACGAATGTTAAAAAATGAGAGTATATTGCAAAAGTAATTGTCATAGGTTGGTGAAGAAATATATCCCAGTCCAGACAAGTTACTGAAACTCCAAATGGTTTGATAAATGCTTGATTATGGGATTTCCTTAGATCTGCAGAGCTCATTTTGATTGTTCTCAATCTCACCTTTTACATCAGGCTTTTTTGGTTAAGTATACTGATTTTTCAGAAGTATTATTGATATCAGGCAGGTGAAAAAGTTGGCAATCCCTCAGTGTTAGCTGCCATGTCTCTACAGATATCAGGTAGTAGAGATAGTCAGGTTGAAAGCTCGGTCATAAAGAATTGTTGGTGAACCACACCTTGGAAGTTTGGGGAAAGTGAATGACAAAAATCTTCTGTTAATTCTATGTTCTTTGTCTTATTATGTTTACCTGTCACACCTCATGGTAGGTACAATGCATAGATTTCAAATTTTGTTTTCTTTTGTTTTGTTTCCTCAGAAAATTATGTATCTGTTGGCATTTAAAGGTTCAGGTATAAGACAGTAATGGCTTATATGCAAAGGCTAAAATTTGCAGAAAAGAAAATATGAATAATACTAAACATAAAAGGAACAACAAGACACAAAAACTTAGATCACTAATACACCATTTTCTACAAAACTAAACAAGACTTGCAAGGAATAGTGATCACAAAAAATAGATTAATATTCTTCATAGTTGAGTTAAACATTCTAGTATCTCTAAAGGAAATAAAAACCACAAAATAAAATGGAAAGAACAACCCCAGTTACTTGGTGAAGTATTTAGAAGTAATAATTTTTACTTTTCTCCTCATACCCAAACCATCTACAAGTTTTGCTCGGGTTGGTTTGATTTTTTCATTGCTTACTTAGAACATTTATGGTACATCAATAGAAGTAAGTTCTCCAGTACTTTTATGATTATTTAGGTAATTTTTTTGGTGTACATATGAAGAAAATACCCAAAACCATGAAAAAAAACCCAAATCCTTATTTTTTTTGATAACGGCAGTTCTGTTTTCATTGAGACAGAAGGCAAAGGAAAGCTGTGAAAATCTGTAAGGCTCATTCAGAAAAATACAGTTTCAGTCATTATGTGAGGGCAAGAATGTATGCAAAAAGTACACTTAAGAAATGAGTGAGAGTGACAAAACATGGGGCCATGTTTGTGAGGCTGATAGCATGAGTTTGATACTAAGTCGAAGCCACTCATTACACCATTGATGGTATTTCCAGTATAAATACTCATAAAAGCTGGCATGATGGGTCTCTCCTAGACCATGTGGAGTATTTGCAAGTCTTCCACAGACTGTTAGCAACTTTTCATTGCCAGAGTGTACATTTCAACTCAGCTATTGAGAAATGTATTTTATTTATATTAATTCTTTTAACAATAATTCTGCATGAACTGCTTAACATTACCTTTACCGTATCCAGGCAAATGGACTAGGCTAGAATTTCATGCTTTCATTCTGTTATCTTGACACATCAGCATAGTACAACAGCTGGCTCATTCCTGGAAATGCTGAGGAGAGCTCTGTTCTCAGAGTGCTGAATTTCTTTCTCAGCTGTAGCTGAGGGGTATTCAGCATTCCAAGCTCCATTACTCCCCCCCACCCCTCCCCAGCACCACTATGTGTTTATGGTAACAGTGCTGATAAGGCAATCAAATGGGATAATCTGATTTGTGAAAGAGGTCGGAGGGGAACTGAGAATGGGTGCATATTGTTTTTATAGCACAGTATCTTGTACATGTTTGGTATTGAGAAAACATATATCTAAAATTACACAGTCAGCAGCGTGTCTGTGGAAGAGCATTTTGGCAGACATAGACACCTGTTTGAGCAGTAGTTCATACACTCCGACCTGTGTCCCTCCCTCGTTCCTGTCCCCAGCAATGGTTTGGAATAAAAGTACTATTTCATTACGATTTAAGAAAAAAAAGGCTGAAGTTTCCTGATTGTAAAAATATTCACAGAGAAAAAATATAATGATTTCTTATTTTTATCAATTCAGATTATTAATTTTAATAGTTTTGTTCAACTCTGTAATGCAGAAAGATGTGCAGAACAGTTTCCCCCACATCCAGGCAAACATCTTCTGAACACTTCCTAAGAAATTAGTTGTATTCAAGCCAGACTTGCATGCTGCCATCCCACAGGAAATGGGTCAGCAATCCATTAGGATGCCATTAGATAATCTAATTTGGAACTTAATCTCTAAATTAACCATGCTCCATACTTGAAGCATACTTGAGAGAAAGGAAAAAAAGTTTATGTTTGAATCGATAGGGGAGCCGAAGCGTGAAGAAGGCTGTTTGTTTTTTCTGTAGCTGTGGTCACGTCTCAAGCCGTCTGGTAACCAGGAGAAACCAGACATGATGTAATTCCAGATTGAACTTGAACTTCAGGGACTTAGAATGGGGGAACAATGGACCATAGGAATCAATAATGTCCATTTTCCACATGATTATGTTTGGAGCTTTAAGTTAAACTTTATGGGAGAAGCAACAAGAACTGCAGTGTGACCAAAATTAATGAGTTGATCTAGAAGCAAGATGTAAAATAAAGAAAACTACTTCAGTAATAATTTCTGAGCAGCACTACAGATTCCAGCAGGATTAGAAAAGTTCTTGCTCTGCAGTGAACTGGTTGCCTGTTCTGAGATCTCTTTGTTCACTTAGGTGGGACAAACTTAATCTTATGTTTCCTGTCAGATGATTTTTGGCAGCTGCTAGGGAAGGAGGAGCATATTATAGAGAATTCCCAAGTGTAAACTGTATCTTTAACCCCTTGGGTACTCCAGCTTTCTACTTTATCATCTTACCTCCAATTGCTTCTTTTGAATCAGTAGAACTGATTTGTTTGGGGATTTTTTTGCTTGTCTCTTTGTTTGGTGCAGTTAGGATCATCTGCATTATTATTTAGTCATTCTCATTTCATAAACATGTAGTAACATTTTTTTTTTTAAAGTGCTAAAGTAAAAATTCTAATGCTATGAAATGGAAATACTAATATTTGGGAAAAGAGAAAAGTAGTGCAGGTATGTAAAGCTGAGAGTTAGTTTTTCATAGGCAACCCAGTGGACTCTGGTAACCAAGCACGTTTTCCATGGTTTGGCTTGACTTGGTCACAGCTTTCATGTGCACAGCTCACATGTGCAAGTGCATGTTTGAAATCCTCTGTTAGCACTGTTCCTGCACCAAATTGTCATACATGAATGGTCTAAAGCATG